TGGAGTATTATAGTGGAGTATTGTAGAGTATAGTATAGCCGCGGGTTAATATGGTACAGTATAGTGTAGTATAGTATGGTATATTCTATTATAGTGGAGTATTGTAGTGGAGTATTGTAGAGTATAGTATAGCCGCGGGTTAATATGGTACAGTACAGTGTAGTATAGTATGGTATAGTCTATTATAGTGGAGTATTACAGTGGAGTATTGTAGAGTATAGTATAGCCCAGGCGCGGAAAAGTGAATGCGCATATGGTTGATATAAGGACAAATAAACGTACATGCACAGGGCTCATTAACAAGGTAACATTACGCTTGAGGAAATGAAAATGAAGAATAGAGTCGACAATTGACATTTTTGCTCTTCAGGATGTACCTGACAAGCTCGTTTATACAGTGCGCGTTTCCCTTGGAACTGACACTYGATAGTATAGTAGCATCAGCAGCACTAGTACCAGCAGCTGATCAGCAGCATTTTCATCGTCTTGGTTTGCGAAATTCGTTCCAATTGCCGGCCCAGTTTTTATCAGGCTTTCCAGATTTCATCTTTTAAAATATTAGACAGAATATCACTGATTATTGAATAATAATTGTAGTCTCCAGCGAGCCTTTTTTWAAAAAAAATATCTATAACGAGAGCCAACAAAAACAAGAAGTAGCCAAAAATATTTTCAACTTAGGCTGATTTTAGAGGGTAAAAAAAGTCTAGAAATAAAAGGTAATTAATATTGAATGGCTGACGGACGGAATGAGTTAGTGAGGCGTGATCATCCTAAGATTTAGCCATGCATGTAGCAACATCAATTTTATCGCTTGTCCTCGTTTTTTATTTCCTTGATATTTTTTCTCAAATTAGCGTCTTCTTCGTATCCTATGACGGATGTATTTTGAAGCGTCATTTATTAAATAATAGTTTTTTGTACAAAGATCTAACAATTGTTCTGAGATGTGCCCAGACAATTGTCTAGATGGAGTGTACGTTTGTTGAGCCTAAYAGCTCAGTAGTTTTTCTTCTTGTTTTCGCAGGTGATACTCCTATTCTAACAAGCGTCATCTTAATATCGAAGTTTTGGTTGCAAAGGAGTACGCGAGCGAAGAATAAATGGTTAATATGTGCTGCTAGCCTGAAGTCAAGGCAGACACACGTTGACGGATCAGGAAGGCAGTAAGCAGTAGGGGCGTCTTATCTCTGAACCAGAAATCTAACTAAAAGCAAAGAACACAATCAAGACCAAACTGACAAATTTATTGTTCGTTTTGAGCAAAGTAAACTCGCCACATCCCACATTATTGTGATCTGCAGCGAGATAACATTGATAATTGACTGTGAATTAGTGAAAAACCCAGGGCTAAATGTTATTGGACTATGGTTTATCTACGATCTTGGCTAATGGCTTCATCTAGCAACACGACAGCTCGATAGGAGACTCTAACATCACAGTGAAGTAATTCTATGATACAAAGCCATTTTCAGTCCATTCTGAATAATTGAAACATTATTCGAGTATTCTATCGACGGGTCATCGACTCCCTGCTGTGATCATGGCAAATCCCACCAGCTACGAAAAAGTTACAGAATTGGAAAAACAAGTAAAACTAGTTTTATATATATTAACGCTGATTCTTGGTTTGTGTGGCAATTCTCTAGTTCTCGTTATTCTTGCTCGAAAGGTTCGACGCGTTGCTAACGATCTTTTTATCATCAACTTAGCAGTAGCTGACCTAACACTMCTGGTGTTTTCTATACCTATTACAGTTCTCTTCTATGGAGAGTTCAAATCACCTACTTTGGTATGTAAATTAGTCTGGCCAATGATGACTGTGTCTAATACAGTCAGTATCTTCACCTTGACATTGATGGCAATGTGTCGATGTCACGTGATCTTGAATGCATTTCGTCCAGTAGTAAGGCATCGCCGTATATATCGAGGTATTGCCTTAACATGGATCTTAGCTATAATGCTCTTGCTTCCCCTGATGATCGTTACAACCCAGCATCCTTTGGGAGGGTGTAAGGAAGTCTGGGGGACGAACGTTGATGGGAAAATCTACACAGTAGTYCTAGCAGTATTGCAGTATATCCTGCCTTTGACTTTAATCGCTATTGCATACATATGGATTGCCGTCGATCTCTGGAAACCAGTCAACTTGAACTCATCTTGGACGGCTACTGATCGTAAAGGAAGAGAAAAGAGACGCAAAGAAAATCTTCAAATTGTCAAAACATTAGCAACGATAGTAGTACTCTTTGCTATTTGTATGCTACCAGGTCACGTGGCCTGGCTACTTAGTGATTTTGGCGGGAAATCTGAAAAGGATGTAACGCAAGTGATTCTTCGTTTTTTTGATATTCTTGTTTACATCCATAGTTGCTTGAATCCCATCGTATATGGCACGTTAACTAAATACTTTCGACGTGAATACTCCAGGTACATATCGTATATATTCTGTTGCAGAAAACAACTACACTCGTACAGTTCCCGTCAGTCACATAATCCTTCCGGACGTGAAAACATGCACAGAACGGCTTCCTTGTAGATATATTACAAGACTTGATTAGAGCAGCTTTTATATGGCTGTGAGAGGTTCGGTGCCGTAAACACGCCGTGCCGTGCCGTGCCGTGCCGTGCCGTGACCGTGATGTTGATTTTTTTCTCGCGCAATCTGATTGGTCCGGCAGTGACATGACTTTGGCGTGACCGTGACCGTGTCCGCGCCGTGATCGTGTTTTGGGTATTCTTACGTGACGTGATTGGCTGGCGTGGCGTATACCTTGCCGTTTCACGACCGTGCTCGTGCCGTGAGCTTCTCACAATCATACGAAAACTGCTCTATTGATTAAACATACGCGCTTTGTAAAACGAATACAGTATTACGGATTATAAATTATTCGCCCCATATTCTAGCAATAATCAACATCACAGATATTATTAGGGATAATTAATCGTTATCAGTTGCRCCACTCGTTATTCATCCTATAATATATGATTAGTGTCGGGTTGATATCTTGGTACGGGATGCCGTGTTAAGAGGATTGTGCATGCCATGAACATGCATTATTGCCGCCCCGACATTTTTGATATTGAGATTCATTGTTCATTCCGTTCACACGTATCMGGATATTTTTGAAAACGGATKTTCTTCTTCTTTGCGGATTGGTCTTGAAGACGCAACAATTCGAAAACAGATACGCATGGACGGGCGGAAACGATTCGAAAACGCTACGTGTGGCCAGGAATTTGTTTGTTTGTTCAAAAATATCAGATGATATGTTTGTACGTAGAGGGCKTGAAGACGTTTTTAGTGGGAGGGGAAGGAACGAGCCGACTCTAAAAACGTCTGCACGGCAGGCTAGTTTGTACGGGKCCTAACAGAATTGTATAGACAAAACAATACTTATGTTATGTAAGCTGAACAAGAACATTTTGTGTTAAAAAATAAAAGATGGGAAAAAATGGAGTCGCGCTTACACACCTGTTGGCGGCTGAGCATGCGCACCTGGAGTCACGTGATCATGTGCACCTGGAGTTACGTGATCACGGTTTTTGCTCGAATTGTGTCAAAGCGTTGCACAAGTATGATATTTATTGTACATTTGGTACATATTAGTTAATTTAGGAAGTTTGAATTTACTTAGATAATAAAACACTGGTATCTCATTTCCCGGACTGTTCGCGCTCACTTCGTAGTCAGTTAACCTGCCTTCGGTTTTCCCTCGAGCATCCTTCGGCATGTATAAATCAAGGTCATTTCCAAGATGGCGGGCTGGTGTTATGATGGATGTCACACTTGGGGCGATTAAAACCCAGCGCTAAAACGATAAAATGAAAATATAGTATATRTTATATTCATCAAAGATATCAAGTGAAAAGTCTTGGTATTGTCGAGAAAGCCATGTTTCGTGTGAAGAAGAAGACTTTGCGGAGGGATGTTGTGGAGGTATGTGATATCGTTCGCTTTCATGTTTACGTATGTAGGATTAGAGATGTCATAATACATGTAAATCAATGGAATATTGATGTATTTTGTGA